CAGCCACATGTGGAAGACACTTCTCAGAGGAATGCTGTCGGATCAGGTATGTCATTGAATGGTTTGCTCCGGGTTCATTTTATTTTAAAGGAGCACGAACTCTCCACAGTCAAGGGCACCAAGGCTCTTCGGACACGGCCTCCTGCTGCCACACTTGGCTGAGCTCTCCCTTTCAGTGTCCTCTTCCTCTTCCTCTGTATCTTCCTCTCCAAGGCTTCACCATGTGGCTCACAGGTGACCTATCTAAAAAAACCCGTGGAGAACACGTGGCTTCCCGCTGAAGTGACTGCTTCCATCGGTGGCAGCGAGGCAGTGTCAGGGTTCATCTGTGATGACAATCTGTATGCCGAGGGATGCAGAGAATGGATATGGGACACATATCCAGGGGCTGGAGGGTGGAGTACGGGGTGTGGATGGAGGAGTCCATGTCCCTCGAGAGCAGGATCCCTGAACGGTGGGCCTGCAGTGAGTTCCAACAGGCCAGGCACAGGTCCTGCATGGGACTCTGGAACTGCTCCAGGGTGATCACCGACTGGCTGAGGGTTGGATAGGCGGGCAGCTAGAACAGCACCTTGGTGGGGTCGGGGGGCATGCTGGGCACCAAAGCCAAGGCCTAGCTCTTCACTGCGACAGCATCCTTGAGGATTTCAATATACATGCTGAGATGCTCCAGGGAATACTTTGAGATTCTTTGCAGATTTCTGGTCCAGTAGAGCGGCAGCCACAGGCAAATCCTGGAAGCCCCCAAGCAGGCTGCAGCAACCACAGAGGGTGGGAATTTGTAGAATATATGACCTTGCAGGGTGACCTTTAGGAAGTAGTGAGCATGCTCCTTGAGGCACTCTTTGGTCTTGGAGGGGCAGGTGGTGGACCAGGTGTGGCAGTGGTGGTCCTTGTGACTGAGAGAGGCCAAGAGGTAGTAGTCCAGGAAGTGGACAGGCGTGGGTGGGCGTGGGCAGGCATGGATTCCAGCCGAAGGTCGCCAACAGCAGCAGATCTGTACTCAGCAGCTCCTTCCTGGTGAGGGTGATGTTCTGGTTGCTCAGGATTCTCGTGCCGTTTATCTGCTCCAACTTGGGCATGTGGTCCTCTCAGTCCTCAAACTTATCTCCAGCTGTGTGATCACGGCCGCGTGTCTCAACTTCTCTGAGATTCAGCTTCCTCATCTACAAGATGAAACCTCCACATCTTATAGCTTGTGTGAGATTCAGTGAGAAGATTGCATAGCCGGCATCTGAACACAGAAAGCAACCACAGTAGTGGGCCTTGGCATTCAGGGTCTCAACTGTGATTCTTATTTGTATGTGCTGATGCTTCATAACTAAGATTGATGGGATTCTAAAATATGAAATGCTTGACTAATTAAGGTTAAAAATTAGAGCCCTTCTAAGAGAGAGCTAAACTTGTCTATTAGCTCTTGCTCCTTGTATGATAGTAAAAAAACTTACAGAAAGATCCATACGAAGAAAACTAAAAAACTGACCAAAAAAAAGAAAATCAAGACAAACTAATAAATTACGTTTCATGATAAGGGTAGGAAGAATCAATATTGTCAGGATGTCAGCTTTTCCCAAATTGACCTATAGGTTAAATGCAATCCCATTCAAGATTTCAGCAAGTTATTTTGCAACTATTGACAAAATAATTCTATACTTATATAAGAAGACAAAAAAAAAAAAAAAAACTTGGAAAGCAACACCATATTTATTTATTTATTTATTTATTTATTTATTTATTTTTTTTTTTGAGTTGGAGTCTCACTCTGTCGCCCAGACTGGAGTGCAGTGGCCGCTCCCGGCCACCGCAGCCTCGGCCTGCTGGGCTCCGGCGATCCTTCCGCCTCAGCCTTCCGAGTAGCCGGAATTACAGGCATGCGCCACCACGCCCAGCTGATTTTTTTGATTTATTGTAGAGATGAGGTCTCGCTACCCAGGCGGGTCTCGAACCCGCGGGCTCAGGCAATTCACTCACCTCAGCCTCCCAAAGGCTCGGGATTACAGGCTGAGCCACCGAGCCCGGCTTACCATATTTAATAAAGAGCAAGCTGGTGTATATAAAACTACAGTAACCAAACAGTGTGGTATTGGTGAAAAAATAGATAAATGAAACAATAGAGAGCCAAGAAATAGAGCCACTTAAATTATCAACTGATCTTTGACCAAAAAAAGCAAAGGCAATACCATGAAAGATAGGCTCTTCAAGAAATGGTGCTGGAACAACTGGACACATACATACACCAAAAAAAAAAAAAAAATGAATCTAGACACAGAGTTACATCTTTCACAACTGTTAAATCAAAATGAATCACAGACTTAAATATAAAATGCAAAATTATACAATGTCTAGTAGATAATATAGGAGTAAATCTAAATGACCTTGCATTTATGAACTTTTTTAGATACACATCGAAGGCATGATCCATAAAAGAAAGAATTTATAAGTTGAACTTCATTTAAATTATTTTTTTATTCTCCAAAAGATATAGACAAAAGAACAAAAAGACACATTATAAAATAGGAAAAAAAATGCTTACAAAAGAAAAGGACTATTATCCAAATATATGAAGAACTCTTAAAATCCAATAATAAGAAAACAAGCAACTCACTTGAAAAACTGGCCAAAGATTTTATCAAAAAAAAAAAAAAAGAAAAGAAAGTGCACATGGCAGATAAGTATATGAAAAGTTGTTAGCTGGGTGTAGTGGCCTGTGTCTGTAGTTCCAGCTACTTGGAAGGTTCAGGAAGAAGGATCACTTAAGCCCAACAGGTTGAGGCTGTGGTGGCCATGAGTGTGCCACTTCACTCCAGCCTGGGTGACAAGACTGAGACTTCAACTCAAAAACAAACAAATAAAATACAATAAAAAATAAATAAATAAAAGAAAAGTTGTTCCACATCATATGCCACTAGGAAAATGCTAATTTGAACAACAATGAGAAACCACTACACGTCTAGTAGAATGATTGAAATAGAAAACACTGACAGCACTAAATGCTTGTGGAGTCACAAGAAGTCTTACTTATTTACTGGTGGAGATTCGAAGTTTATAACCTCTTTGGAAGAGAGTTGGGCAGTTTTTACCAAAACTATAGGTACTCTTACCATATGATTCAACAATCATACTCCTTTATGTTTACCCAAATAAACTGAAAATTTTTGTTCACACAAAAACCTGCACATGTAAGTTTATAGCTTTATTTGTAATTGCCCACACTTTAAAGCAACCAAGATATCCTTCACTATGTGAACAGATAAATTATGGAACATCCAGACAATAAAATGTAATTCTGTGTTAGAAATAAGTGAGTTATCAAGCCATGAAAAGGCATGGAGGGAATGTAAATATGTTTCACTAGATGGAAGAAACCAAGCTGAAAAGGGTACATACTAAATGATTCCAACTACATAACGTTCTGAAAAAGCAAAACAAGACAAAAACTATGGGGATGATTAAACAAAATCAGTGATTGCAAGGGTTGAGGGAGAAGAAAGAATGAATACAGAAGGCAGAGAGAATTTGGGGGACAGTTAACTACCCTATAAGATACTAAGATATAAGATATATGTCTTTAAACATTAGTCCAAATTCATATAATCATAACAAGAGTGAATTACCTAGTGTAAACTATGGATTTTTGGTGATGATATATGTCAGTGTATGCTTCTAAATTGTAACAAATGTATAACCCTCCGGTAAGAGATGCTGATAATGGGAGATGATATGCCTGTGTTGGGTAGAAGATATATGGGAAATTTCTGCATCTTTACTCAATTTTGTTGTGAACCTAAAACTACTCTAAAAATAGTTTATTAAAAAAAACACTTCCTAAGTACAATGGCTGAGAGATCAAATTCTATCAATTCAAATATATAATCTCTAAGACATTCAAATTTACAGATCCAACTTTGCCAAACAATTGAATCCAAGTACATATATCTATGCTAACCTACTCTTCACTATTCTAGAGTTTCTGAAATTATTAATAACCACACAGGCTATCTTATCTTCAGAAAATGGGAAAGTACAATAGTGAAAAACAAAAGAGTGGCATACATTTTCTTTTTGTTTTTATTTTAATTTTCTATTAAACATTCTCCCAAAGCATTATTTTACCCCATATCTCACTGAATTATAAGAAATAACATTAGCATTAGAAAAATTAGGGAAAAAGTTAAATGTAGATAATTAATTCAACTTATATGAAAAAGGAAAATTATAACAAAGGACTAAGAACTTTATAAATTTAAATTAATGTGAGATTATAATTTGAAAACTGTGCCTTTTGTAGCAAACTTTATTCAATTATTTTTAGCAACAGCATTTTATGACTCTAATATGCACATTTTTTCAAGAAGGAAGCTCACTTTTAAAATATTTTTATTTTAAAAATAGGCCTGTGCTCAGCTACAGATATTTCCCACCGAACTCTGATTACACTTATTTTATTTTGATTTGAGAAGAAAATACTGTTTTTTTATGGCATAAAATGCAAAATTTTTAAGTTTTTTTTTTTAATCCCAGCCCCAAATTTGAAGAACTATTAATTAGACATTGATTATGGTCACTAAGTGTACAACACTAATTACTAGCTAACTATTGATATTGTTTCTTTCCTAGTTCTCCTAAGGAAAACTCTTAAATTGAATCTTCAGCAGAATAATCCTTAAATATACTATATGAGCAAGCAAGGTTTTTGTTTACATAGTTTTTTGGATTTGACTGTTCCTAATTTTATGCTGAAACTCAGCTTTACCCCAAACCATAATTACCAGATTAATTTTATAATGCACAGTCGTATGCAGTTCAGCAAAGCAGTAGTACGCCATTAGGCTCTCGTCACTCAGAGCTTAGAAAGCAGGATAGGTCACACTCATTTAAAAACAAACATACCTCATGCTATTTGCCAATGTGTAGTTTCAGATCTAAGTTCAGACACTGAACTATATGGATATATATCTATAATCTTATTTTGGTTTTCAAAAGTAGCCATAGGGAGTTCTTCACAGTTTAGCTTTGCCTGACTGAAGCTGAAGGTTTGGTAACTTCATAGTTAGAGCCATATTGCCCATGATTTTCAATTTGTCTTGGAAGAAGACCGACTGAGGATTCATTTTACCCATCATTAAAGCCAGTAAGTCCGAGTCAACCATTGTGATTGTGCAATCAGCCTTCTTATCTGAGTCAGGAAGCACTGATTCTTTGCCATCCTTCACATCCCCTACCCAGGTGGCTTCTTTACCCCCAGAGCCATCCTTCAACTTGAAGGCAAAAATACCACCGATTTTCTTCACAAACGATTCCCCTTCCTCTTCAAACGTCTCAATCTCCTTAAAGACAAGATTTGCCTTAAACCCATCACCTGCAGAGTTGTTTGGTGCAGCCTCAATTTGATGAGTTCCAAAAGAACTGGCTGCTTCGGGGAGGCCTATCCTACAGCGTGTCACAACCATTGCTCATCTGAAGCCTAAATTGTACTTCAGAGCCACCTTTGCATCAGGAACTTGCCTCTTTCCCCATACATTTTAAAATTAATATACATGCGTGAAATATATGAGAATGGATTTCTGTTCCAATCCAGTGAGTATCTGATCTTATGTACCTTAGAGGTTTCTTTCTTTTTTTTTTTTTTTGAGTTGGAGTCTCACTCTGTCGCCCAGACTGGAGTGCAGTGGCCGCTCCCGGCCACCGCAGCCTCGACCTGCTGGGCTCCGGCGATCCTTCCGCCTCAGCCTTCCAAGTAGCCGGAATTACAGGCATGCGCTACCATGCCCGGCTGATTTTTTGATTTATTGTAG